ATTCATTCCCTTCTTCTTCGTGCATGCAGTGGTGACACAGGCCGTCTCTTTCTCCCTGCACCTGGTCGCCAGTGAACACACGCAGCGACAAACAACACCTGCAAGCAAGCATGACCGTGCTCGACCTGATGCTCTCGGCCTTTGACCGGGTGAACAAGGCACTTGGGCTCGACAAGGGCCTTGCCTATATCGTTACCAACCACCGCTGGTGAGCCACAAATGGTGTGAGGTGTATGGCGGAGGGTTGTGCGTGGAGGAGGAGTAAAAACGTTTGGAGTTTCAGTGTGGCCGAGGCCCTGCCGCTCGCTTGTGCCTGTGTGCGTGTGTCTATGTGTCTGTGTGTCTGTGTGTCTGTGTGTTTGTGTTCAGACGACCTGTTTGTCTCTCGCCCCCTGCTGCCTGTCGCCGCTCGTGCGTGTGTCTGTGCCGTTGTTGTAGAGAGCAGCTGTCTTCTTGTTGTGTTCTCACTCTTCTGTTCGTGCCACTGAACACGAAACACAACACAACCCACCCAAAAGGATTGTTGTCATCTTCTTCCTCATGCCAGTGAGCTTGGTGATGAACTCTTACCTGTACTTGAAAGCGCTGATGGCCCTCAAGCTGGGCCAAATTAACGACCGCAGTGTGGAACAACACAAGGTCTGCCAGCCCACGTGCTCCTCTGTCTACCGTGCTGCTGCTGTTGCTGCTGTTGCTTTTCCTGTGCCTGCTGTGCTGCTATTGTTGTTCTTACTTGTGTTGCCCTTGGCTTGCAAATGCACACTCACTCACAAGCATGTGATGGTTCCTTTTATTGGCGCATGCCCACCACATTTTCCCCTTGGCCGTTGCTGTGTCGTGGAGCAGGCACGTGTTCAAACGGTTGTGAAGGCCATTCATAAGTGGAAGGCTGCCGACGACGGCACCAAGCTCTGCACGGCTCGTCCCGGTAAGCTGCCAATGCCCACGGACTGTGTGTGTGTGTGTGTGTGTGTGTGTGTGTGTGTGTGTGTGTGTGTGTGTGTGGAACAGGCTGCATGCACAGCTAGCGTAAGGTGGGTCGTGCGTGGCAAAATGTTGTTGGCCGTGGATGCACACGCAGCCTGCTTGCTGTTGCCCATGACATACTCAACATGGCTGTACCAACTAACAACGTTCGCTTACCTCAATGTTTGTGTGCGCGTGCGTGTGTATGAATGTGTATATGTATATGTGTGTGTGTGTCTCAGGGTGGCTGGCAATGTCCCTGCGCATGGCCAAGTACAAGAAGACGCACACGGGCATCCCTGTTGGTCACCTGAGTAACGTCATCAAGATTGACCGCGAGAACATGACTCTCTTTGTCGAGCCCAACGTTACCATGGGCCAGATCACCGCCACCCTCAACCCTCTCGGTACTATGTGCGTGCGTGTGTGTGTGCGTGCGTGTGTGTGTGTGCGTCTGCCTGTCTGTGTGTGTCTGTGTCTGTGTCTGTGTCTGCATCTGCATCTGTATCCGTGTCTGTATCCGTGCCTGCTTCATTGCGTGTCTGCCTGTGTGTCTACCTGCCTGTTCGCCTGTCCGCCTGTCCCTGTGTTTCCTGCTCGTTTCAGCCGTCCTTTGTTGTGTATGAGCTGCGTGCAGCGAAGCGATACTCAAGCCATATCCCCAATCCTGACTCGCCCCCACCCACCCATACACTCGTGCAACTGCGCACCCTGCCTTTGTGCACGCACTAGGCCTGACGCTGCCTGTTCTGCCTGAGCTCGATGTGCTCACGGTTGGCGGGCTCATCTGCGGTGTTGGCGTTGAGACATCCTCGCACAAGTACGGCCTGTTCCAGCACTGCTGCACCAAGTTTGAGATTGTCATGGCCTCTGGTGAAGTGAAGACGTGCAGCAAGGATGAGAACCCAGACCTCTTCCAGGCCATCCCTTGGTGCGTTCCAACACGCCTGTTTGGTTTTTTCGGGTGGTGGTGGTGGTGGTGTGTGTGTGTGTGTGTGTGTGTGTGTGTGTGTGTGTGTGTGTGTGGCTGGCTGGCTGACTCCTTGGCTGCCCGCTGTGCACTCTGTTGTTGTGTGCTTTGCACTGCAATTGGCTGTCACAACACCCTATTCTCTCACGTTTCTCACACCACCACAACCACAACGCGTACATGATTTTGCAGGAGCCACGGCACGCTTGGGTTCCTTGTTGGTGCAGAGCTGAAGATTGTCCCCGCCAAGAAGTTTGTCAAGCTGGAGTACCTGCCGTACACCTCCCGCTCCGAGTGGCTGCAGGCGTTCGCAGAGGCGACGCAGAGCAACGACGACTTTGTTGAGACGCTCGCATATGGCCCGGACAAGTTTGTTCTCATGCGCGGCACCATGACCGATGAATTCATCCCAGAGAAGGTCTGGTTGTCGGCGTGAAGAAGATGATAATGGTCGTTACGGTGGTGGTGGTTGCGGTTGTGGCCGTGTTTGTGGTGGCGAGGGTCCTCGTATTGTGACTTTGATTGCGACTTGTTATGTAAATGAGTTCTCACCCATCACACACACACACATCCAACTTGCTCTTTACCTTTCGCCTTTGCGCCAGGTGAACAAGATTGGAAAGTGGTACAAGCGCTGGTTCTACACGCACGTCCGTGATTTCCTCTCCTCCGTAAGTCTGATGGCACAATGCTGGGAGGCTATCGCGAGCGTGTTGTGTGTGTGTGTGTGTGTTGTGTGTGTTTTTTGGTTTTCAGGTGCGTTTGGTGGTTTGGGTATGCTCTCACATCTTCTCTCTCCACTCCCACCTCACACGAAACGTTGTATCTCGTCTCATGTGCGCGCACACACACACACACACACACACACATATACCTCGCCACTCAGGGCCCTGGCCTGGAGTACATTCCCCTGCGTGACTACTACCACCGCCACACCGTCAGCCTCTTCTGGGAAATGCAGGACATCATCACTTTCGGAAACGATGTACGCACGTGAGGGTGTGCACGTGAATGTGTGGGCGTGTACGAGTAGCTACATGTGTGTGTGGGCGTGTACGAGTAGCTACATGTGTGTGTGTGTGTGTGTGTGTGTGTGTGTGTGTGTGTGTGTGCTGTGCGGTCCCATGTGCCTTGTTTGTCGTCTCACCCGACACATGCACGCAAATTCACTCGCCTGGCACAACTAAAACTCATGACCACACCACGCGCAACCCTCCACCACCACCACCCTTCTCAACCCACTATTTTGTGGCCCGCAGGCGTGGTTCCGTTATCTGTTTGGGTGGATGATGCCCCCAAACCACTCTGTGCTGAAGCGCACGCAGACCGAGGAGCTGCGAAAGCTCTACGAAATGCACCACGTTGTCCAGGATATGCTCGTGCCGCTCAGGTACCCTCACCACTCGTGCTTGCGATGAAGGCAGTGATGATGGTAATGGGGGTGCTCGTTGTAGTCGCGATTGTGCTGGCGATGGTGGCTGTGAGCTTTGACGTGGTCGGTGGTCGTGGCTGCGTTTGCGAAAGGTGTTCGCAGACATGTGTGGTGATGTTAACTTGGTTGTGTCAGCGCTTGTGATACGCCTGTCAGTGTGTGGGAATCTTTAGTGTCCATTGCTCCTCCTCGCGTCACTCACCCTGTGCCCTGCAACCACTGTACTACCACTGCACCACCGCACCACCGCACCACGTGTCAACAGCAAGCTGGGAGAGACGCTTGACGTGCAGGATGAGCAGTTTGGGGTGTACCCATTGTGGATCTGCCCAATGCGCATCTTTGCTGAGGACGCGGGCTTCATCAAACCAACGGACGAGGGCGAGGAGATGTTTGTTGACGTCGGCATCTACGGCGTCCCTACCGTGCGTGTCTTTGGTTGTTTGGTGTGTGTGTGTGTGTGTGTGTGTGTGTGTGTGTGTGTGTGTGTGTGTGTGTGTGTGTGTGTGTGTGTGTGTGTGTGTGTGTGTGTGTGTGTGTGTGTGTTGTGTGTGTGTGTGTGTTGTGTGTGTGTTGTGTGTGTGTGTGTTTGTGTGTGTTTGTGTGTGTCTGTGTGTGTCTGTGTGTCTGTGTCTGTGTCGGTCGGTCTTCTCGCGTGTTGGTCTGGTGTCTCGTGTATGTGTCGGTCTTCAACTGTCGGCCTGCCTAAGTTTCCCCCTTTCCTCTCTGACATACACTCATCGCACACACGCACTCGCGCATCCGCACACGCATGCTGACGGTGATAGGGAGATTCCTGGGCCCGGTGCCAAGGTGAATGTGCACTACACCGGAACGCTGTTGAGCGGGAAGAAGTTTGACTCGTCCCGCGACCGCGGCGAGCCATTCAACTTCACCCTGGGCCAGGGCAGCGTCATCAAGGGCTGGGAGGAAGGCGTGGCCACCATGCGCGTCGGCGAGCGCGCCACCCTCACCATCAAGTCTGAGAAGGCGTACGGCGAGCGGGGTGCGGGGACAGACATTCCCCCCAACGCCACCCTCAACTTTGACATTGAGCTCCTCAGCTTCACCGACATGGATGACGTCTCCGATGCCAAGGACGGCAGCATCATGAAGAAGCTCCTCCACAAGGGTGCGCGCATGTGCCTCTGTGTGTGTGTGTGTGTGTGTGTGTGTGTGTGTGTGTGTGTGTGTGTCGTGTGTGTGTGTGTGTGTCGTGTCTGTCTGTGCTTGCGTATGTGTGTGTGTGCTTGCGTATGTGTCTGTCTGTCTGTACTTGCGTACGTGTGTGTGTGTGCGTGTCGTGCCTGTCTGTCTGTGTCCGCGGATGTATGTGTGTGTGTCGTGTCTGTCTGTCTGGCTGTGTGTGAACAAACGTCCCACGGCAGTGTATGCCGTGCTTGGCCTTGTTCTACCACTGCTACACACCCACCTCACGCTTCTTCCTCTTCTTCTTCTCTTCCTTGTTCCCCATCTTCCCTTGCATTGGCAGCGGAAGGGTACAAGCGACCAAAGGAGCTCATGAACGTCAAGGTCCACTACAAGCTGTACACAGACGACAAGGTTTGTGCTGGGCCTGTGTGTGTGTGTGTGTGTGTGTGTGTGTGTGTGTGTGTGTGTGTGTGTGTGTGTGTGTGTTCTCCTCTCACCTCAAGGCTGCACTTGGCACGTACAACAGCGTCGCCGTGTGAGCACGCAAGCGCACATGGCACCACGTACTCACATTTCACGCGCCTGCGTCCGCTCCAACTCCAACAGGTGTTCAAAGACACGTTTGGGGGTGAGCCCGAGGCTGTGGTTGTCGACGATGCACAGCTGTTTGAAGGCTTTGACACGGCGCTCAAGACCATGTCGCTTGGCGAGAAGGCGCGTTTTGTGTTCAAGGCGGCGCAGGCATACGGCGTGCACGGCAACGAGGCGCTTGGCATCCCGCCACACACGGACATCAAGGCCGACGTGGAGCTGGTTGAGCTTGACCCGGAGTTCAAGGACACGTGGGAGATGGGCCCTGAGGAGCAGCTGGAGGCCGCTGAGAAGCGGAAGGCCGCCGGTACAGAGCTCTTCAAGCAGGGCGAGTACGCCCGCGCGCGCAAGCGGTACGAGGCTGCAGCGTCGTATCTGTCGACCGTGCACAAGATGAGCGACGAGCAGAAGAGCCAGGCCAGCGAGAAGAAGATGCTGTGTCAGCTCAACGTGGCGCAGTGTGCCCTCAAGCTCAAGGACTATGGTGCCGCTGTTGACTTTGCCACCCGCGCCCTCGAGGCAGACCCAGCAAACGTCAAGGTGTGTGTGTGTGTGTGTGTGTCTCTGTGTGTGTGTGTGTGTGTCTGTGTGTGTGTCTGTGTGTCTGTGTGTGTGTCTGTGTTGTGGGAAGTGTCTGAATCATGTTGATCTGAGTGTCTTCTTGGGCGTGTAACATGCGTATGCATGCATGCGCTCGTGTGTCCCACTTCGACTGCTCCGCGTGTTACACTGGCCACGCCAGCCAACCCGCCCTTTGACAGTGTCTCTCCTTGCACCCCCAAGCACCCCCAAACACTCACCCTGTCCCATGCCATCTCCACCATCCCACCCCATCCCATAACACCTGCGGACAGGGCCTGTTCCGGCGTGCCACGGCCAACTTCTCCCTCGGCAAGTGGGAGGACGCCAAGCACGATGTTGAGGCCGCCCTTGCAGCCGACGCCGCCAACGCCGCCTGCCTCAAGCTGCACAAGCGCATCAAGGCCGCAGAGGCGCAGCACGCCGCCAAGGAGAAGAAGATGTTTGCTGGCATGTTTGACAAGATGGCCGGCAAGAGCTGAGCCCTGACGTGGTGCTAGGATGTGTGTTGAAGTGTGTGTCTGTGTGTCTGTGTGTCTGTGTGTGTGCGTCTGTGTGTGTGGTTGAAACCCGCCTTGCTTGCTGTTCCGCAATGCAATGTCCTGTGGTTGCATCTGTCAATGGCGTGTTTTATGTTGTAATAAACCCCTCCCCCCAAACAACCATTGTAACTCCAATCAAGTGACACATGATCGAGGTATTGCGGTGTTGTATTGCGCTGGTGCTCGGTTCCAAAGAGCTGTGTTGTGCGAGCGTTTATGAGCGCTCTCGGCAAGTGCTTCACACTTCCACACGATTTGGTTTCTTTGTGGCTTGCTCCTCGCCCGTACGGCTGTGTTTGCTCTTGTGTTCTTCTTGGTGCGCTTGCCCGTCTTATTATTCAGTCCTCGTCCCTTCACACTTCATCGTGCTTGTGGCTCTCCTGCCACGAGAGCAGATGTCGAGCGATTTCATGCACACATTGCAGCGCGTCCAAGTCCTCCACCAAGTCGAACAGGCGGGCGCGGGTCTGGGTGCTGCTGTGAGTGCCACCTGCATCTTGCTGTGCATCTGGAGTGTTTCGGATCTGTACAACGGGATTGCACAATGCATGCTCAATGGTTGAAGCTGTCAGCCCTTGCTGGCGGAGAAGGGCAACAAATTCGTCGTGCTGTTCGTCAAGTGCACGTGTCGAAGCTGCACCACTGTTCTCGCTGCCCCGTTTGTGTTTACGGCCACGAGGAAGAGATGGTTGACTCGGTTTTGGTTCGCGCTTCCCGCGTACTTCATCAGCCGCTCTGAGCCAGTTTCGCCTCTCTGCGAGCGCTTCCAACGGACTGGCGCTCGCATGCACCCCTGCCCAACAAAGCAAGAAAACGATAATATTGACTATGTGAGTGAGGGCAAGGCTGGTGTCACATCACAGCGCAACACAACGGAGATGTGCAGGTGTGGCAGTATCAACGAGACGACATCAAAAACTGTGCTTCTTCACACGACGCACGACACACGACACACACACACACACACACACACACACACACACACACACACACATACACACACACACACACACACACACTCTCTCTCTCACACACACACACACACACTCACACACACACACACTGACACGACACACACACACACTGACACGACACACACACACACACACACACACTGACACGACACACACACACTCACACACACACACACACACACACACACACACACACACACACACACACACACCGTTGTCTCCGATTGTTGGTTGGAAAGGGAGGCGGAGTGCCGCCCAGTTTTCAAAGATGACACGACGAAGAGATCCCGGACG